GTTTATTTATGGAATCCCGCAAGATTTGACGTCATCTGTTACGGCGCTCACTGACTGACTGCGCTGCTGCGTGATAGCGCGGGGCTTGTTGATCCTGCTCTCTCTGAATTTCTGACCATTACCACATGCTCCCATCTGCTCCCGTGATTTTTGTGTGCGCTCCCGCAAACATTCTAATATTGTATATAATTTTTGCGCATCAGAGAGCCGCTATCAATATGTGGGGTATTTAAATCCCTTTTGAATGAGCGCTCGCAGTCGCAGTTCACTTTCGATTTCGCAATCGCGCACGCACTGTGTAAAGGGAACACATATTACGATAAAATATATTTGTCAATGAGCTCAGGATCTGTTGAGGAGCAAATCCTCCAACATCTTGTCAGTCATCACTCCTTACTCTCGACCCGTGATCAGTCAAATCTGACTCTTGCAGCTCGTGTTGGATGCAGGGTTGTTGTTGTTTTTTTCCCACGAAATTGGGCTGCTTTTAAACTTGCCATGGGTTGATTTTCCCAAGTGGGTTAAAGGTTTAAAATATTGCATAAATTACATTTGGTTGAAATGCTTGTACTGAAACATTTTGCATTCTACCTGTAATAAAACTGTGCTAAATGTTTTGGGCCACACTAGTAGGAAGCATTTGAGCTGTGTTTATGATAAATGTGCATAACAGTGACTGTAAAATATGTATTTTGGGGATGGAAATAAAATTTTTATATTTGGGACATGGTAATTGCGCTACTTTGGGCTGTATTTTTTATTTTATTTTTTTTACCGGCATGGGCTTGGGATGCACAAAAAATTCACATAAAAATGCACATAAAATGATGAATAGTTGAGATCATTATTTTACCTTCCATGATCAAAATGTTCAAGATCATGTTCAAGTGTTCAGACATGTTCAAGTCTGCATCAAATCAAGCACTCCGTAATCACAGGTAAACTGATCAGTCAGATGTTTGTCATGAGAAGTGTTCCACAAACAGCTATGGTTTGCAGAGAGTCAATTAGTTTGACTTCGAGGTTCTCCAAGTTTATCAGCAGGTTCTCTAATTTGATGTCCCCATGGTAAACTCCAGTTTACCAGTTTCAGTTCTAAGTTTCTTTGTAACATCACAGTGGTTCTCAGACATAGCTGAGGAATTCGAAAAAAAAAAATCTGCATATTTTTGTTGTTGTTGTTGATGTGACAAATACATCTTTTGAATATACTGTGTGAACTCAATAGTTGTGATCATTATTTTACCTTCCATGATCATTCAGACACGATCAGGTGCAGTACTGACACTCTGTCAAGTCTGCATCAAATCAAGCACTCCGTAATCACAGCTAAACTGTCTGATCAGTCAGATGTTTGTCTTGAGAAGTGTTCCACAAAACAGCTATGGTTTGCAGACATAAGAGTTGATGTGACAAATACATCTTTAAAATATACTGTGTGAACTCATTACCCCGTTAGCTCGGAGAGCTTTATTTTCCCTCCTCAATAAGTTTTGTCAGTTGTTTTGTTTATTGGTCTAATTCTTGTTTCTTGGGTTGCATTGGTTAGTCACTCAATTAATTATCTTGTGCTTCGTCTCCCCCCCCCTTCTGAATTATGTTGTATTGATAAGGAGTTATCACAAAGTAAGTCTGTTTAGTTGTGGTATCTTACAATCAATATATAGTAAATGTAGGTTAAAGTGTCGCCGATGTAATCGGTTAAAACTTGGGAGTGGTGATGAGCTCTTAAAATGTATGGAAAGAGTCTTAAAAAAGGTCTTTAAAGGTATTAAATTTCACTCCATGATTCCTGTATATACCCTGAAATAGGGATTTAACTCAGTCTTGGGTATTTTTTTTCTATTGAAAAAGCACTGGTACTCACAATGCTGATACTTTCCACATGTTTTGACTTTTTGACAAATTTTACTGCCCCCTGATGGACAAAACAAAAAAAGCAATAAATTGAAGTGAGGAGCGTTGCACGGCTTTACACGCGCAACGTTCTAAAAGTTCTAAGTTTCTTTGTGACATCACAGTGGCTCTCAGACGTAGCTGAGGAATTCGGAAAAAAAAATCTGCATATTTTTTTTCTTCCTTTTTTGCACAGTAGTTAATTAAATTCAGCCGGCTAAATATTGTACAGTTGTTGTAAACATCACATTTTGTATATGTATTACATATATTAAGTATCACAATTACAAATTATGGAGTCTTGTACTTGCTCTCTGTAAACGGTTGTACTCGTGAAGAACTCTGTCCCATGATACATTTCTGTTGTGTATCAGTCAGACTAGAGCAGCAACAAACTGAGTAGCCTAAATGAGTGAAGTGAGGAGCGTTGCACGGCTTTACACGCGCAACGTTCTAAAAGTTCTACGTTTCTTTGTGACATCACAGTGGCTCTCAGACGTAGCTGAGGAATTCGGAAAAAAAAATCTGCATATTTTTTTTCTTCCTTTTTTGCACAGTAGTTAATTAAATTCTTCCTTTTTTGCACAGTAGTTAATTAAATTCAACCGGCTAAATATTGTACAGTTGTTGTAAACATCACATTTTGTATATGTATTACATATATTAAGTATCACAATTACAAATTATGGAGTCTTGTATTAACTATTAATGAGATTTATTCACCTCTTTAATTCTTGTGAAGTTTAAAGGATTATATATACACACATTTTATATATAGGCCTATACTTTCACACACATACAACAATAACAAAACTTTTCTTGTGTGCATTTCTCAGTCACAGACAGCTGTAGCCTGTGACCGCCTCTTTCTGGATGTATTACCCAGATGTATTGGATGTATTAGCTTTTGACAAATATCGTTTTTTTTTTTTTTTCCCTCTTAACGCCATTCCAGCATCTATGGCTATATTCATAGATAAATATCCATATGGCTATATTCACTCAGTCTTTACACATCAATGTATCGTCACGAGCTGCAGGGTTTAATTTGGATTTGTCTGTGCATGTTTTTTTTACTCATAGATTTTGTTACCATTGCCATGCATTATACGACTGATAGACTGCAACGGCTGGAGTTAAAAATCATCAAATGTGTTCTACTGAAGAAACAAAGTCACCTACATCTTGGATGCCCTGGGGGTAAGCAGATAAACATCAAATATTAATTTTTGGGTGAACTATCCCTTTAAGTGCGTGTACATTGAGATCATGCATTACATAAATTCGTCCACT